TGGAAATGAAAGTTTTTCATTTATTGTTCTGTACTTTACCTCTTCTTTTAGATGACATAAAAATCTTTCTTTATTTTCTATGATGTGTTTGATGTTATTAACTTCTCTGATTTTTGGCTTGTCTATAAAATCAAATTTTACACTATGACCTTCTAAGTTTGATTCAATTCCTGTGCTATCTATTTTCAAAGGATATAGTAAATTTAGAAAAGGTGTCCCAAGTATAACGGCTCAACTTAATCCTTAAACCATAATAAAGGGTATTTTGAAACAATTACTATTGTCACATATTGCAGCATTGGAAAGTTTATATTTGATCATTAACCTACTACTATCTGCTGTATTGAGTATTTGAGTTGTTTTACAAAAGCATTTAGTAGGTACTAATCCCTCGTTTATACAATTAAGATCCGCTCCTGAGTCTATTAGTGCAAGGGACTGAAAGCTATATTCTTTATTTACTATTATTCTTATTAAGGTAAACCATTTCTGAGTGATGACTTTATCCAATAGGTTTACAAAATTTTTGTTTTGCATAATATCATCTTCTTATTTTGAGTTGGATGATTTCGGAGTTTCTTTTATTGGGAATGATGGGTGTTTATGATTTTTTATAAGGCTATCAAATTCAAATTCTTCATTTGTATCGTTATCAGAAAATTCAGCGGCCATTTCTAATATCTTTATTCTATTCTTAAGATTCTGTACTTCAGTTGTTATTTCATTCATTTCTTGTTTTAGTTCAGAAATGGATGGTTCTTTCTGAGAAGTATCTTTGTTATTAATTCTTTTTAGTATTTCGGCTAGACTATATTCTTCTTGTGTTTTTACAAGAGGGACTGGTTTCCTTTTTGATTTAGCTACTTGGATGTATTGGGTTAAGGCTTCCCTTTTTGCTTCTGGGTCACTTATCTTATCTATTAAATCTATGATTAAATTTTCTTCATTTGTGAGAGTATTAAGATTTTTGCAGAAACAATCTTCCATCGGTTCATCAGAATCTGAACTACTTAGTATTAAATTTTCATCACATATTTCTCTATCTAGAGACTCAGAATCAGAACTTGATGTGTTATTATCAGTTTCTATTTGAAGTATATCATATATTTGAGTTATAATCTCCTTTTCAATCTGTAGGACATTGATTTTCTTTTTAATCTTACATTTGTTTTTGTAATGTCCTACTTTCCCGCAATTATAACATACTGGAATTTTTCTTTTTCCCCTTTTGAGATTGGTTTTGGGACAAACTTTCTAGTAAACTTGTCTTTAATCTTCTTTTGACTAGACTTTTTGTTTTTTCTTTTATAAGATTTATCCGATGAAGGTACAGTATTATAGCCAAATTGTTCGCAAAAATCTCCTAATTCTTTCTTGCCCGTCATTCTGTGCTTATCGAGTTGCCTTTTTAACTTTAAATCAGTACATAGGGCAAGACCTTCTGCACAAATCTCTGCAGATAGTTCTCCTAGAGTATAAAGGGAGTACGGGCTTATTCCTCCATTCTTATTCTTCAATCTATTTTTTACTTTTTCGGCAAACAGATAAGGTAAACCTGCTATAAATTTTTCCTTCCAATGATCTGCACTATGGTCTTTTCGAGATAGAAGGAGTGAAAAGAATACGTCTTTATACCATTTGTAGTGAGATAATGTTGAACATCTTAAATTAGATAATAGATCTTCCGATCTAGCATCTAATAAAGAAGTACTTCCTACAAAATGTAAGGTTATTGTATAGATGAGTGTATTAACTGCATCGCTTTCACTATGAGATATCTCTTGATTGTATTCATTTTTAACAGTCCAGTGTCTTGTAGTGTTTAATAGCTGTTGTTTAGTGGTTTCACTCATGTGAAAATCCCACCATCATCTTAACCATCCTGTAAACCCACAAACAATAGCTTTGGCTACTTCTTGGTCATGATTACCGGCTACTTTACAAGCCGTGGCATACATGGTCATATGCTTCATGGTATCAACTATTTGATGGTCAGACATACCATCGTTCTAGCCGAGTAGGATACAGTACTTGAAATTAAATCTTCTTCGAACTGTATATCTACTGGGGTCGGCCTAGTATGGTACATCTTTGATTGGGCAGTAGGACTCCATTTCCTTCCATAATCTATCCTATTAATATTTGAACTAGATTCTTTGAACGCTTCCTCTATTTTGAATATCTCATCATTATTTAATGAGTCTTCTTGAAGTACCATAGCTTCTGATTCAACTATTACCCTTTTTCCCCTCTTTATCTTTTATGCTTAACTGGGATAGTTTCTTTACTAGTTCATCAACCAATTCTTTATTTTCTTCCTTTTTCTTTATCCCTTTTAGGCTGAATCTTTCTTCATTTATCTTTGGAGGGGTTTTGAATAATACTGCCTTCTTTTTATCTTGTTTTTTACTAACTTCACCTTGAGGTTTTCCTATTATATTTTCAATCCTAGTAATTTGTTTACCAATAGACTCTAGACAAAGGTTGGTATAATTGTTTTGTTCTATTATGTGTGGGATCATTTCTATTTTATGGCTATGCTCATTAGGAACCATCTTATAGGGAGAGGCTTTTGTTTCAGGTTTATCTTTTAATATTCTTTTTATTTGAAGGCTTCTTTCCGGAGGATGTATACTTTGTATTTCCTCTCTTTTTATTGTATAGAAGATTAGATATTGATTTTCTAATGTATTCAATTCAAAATTGGGAATAGGAATATCTTTTTCTTCAAGAGTTGATTTTAACCAGTTAAAGAATCCTATATTTTGTTTATTCTTTTTTATAAATTTATTGTATCTTTTATGAAAGGCGTCTAACAATTCTTTTGAGAACTTTGCTAGATACCATTCTCTTATCCCTTTATTAGTTTCAGAAAGATAATCATTTTTTAATAATTCTAGGTCTACATTGAACTTTTCTTCTTTTTGGAGAGTCAAGATATTAAAGTCCAGGTCAGAAAATGCTGGTTCACTCCCTGATGGACTAGGATCATAAGCCTTGTATACGGGTATATTAATGTTACTATTTATTCTTGTTAGCCCTTGTATTAACGGCTTATCCTGTATTGATGAAGTAGAATGTCTGGAAGGTGCAAGCATTCTTTTTGGAGGTCTTATCATATCTTCAGAAAAATTCAATCTTGCCCTTCGGCTAGAACTGAATTGGATGTCAATATTCCCATCTGGATATTCAATTATTTGATCCGGCTCATTATTAATAGGGGTTCTATACTGTTGGTTTTCATTATGAATAGGCTAGTTTTCTAGGAGTATTACTTGAGACCAATTTATTGATTTAGGGATGACAGTGTTTAATTTTTCTATATTTGTTTGAAAATATATTGTCTGTCCCCTGGTATCCATTTGTAAGACATTTGGACTTAATGTGTTCATGACTTTATAATATATTCTGTAGATTAGAGCAATATTTTGGGAACCAGGATTCATATCGAACCCTTGTGTTTTTAGATTTAAAGTAAGGACTTTAAGAAGATTGGGGTCCATTAACGAGATCGAGTAATTGGGAAAACAATTAAAATAAATAGGACCACTATATAAGCTAAACTCTACTACTGCTAATAGGGAGTCATAAAACTTATTATGCGTACTATCTCTAAGACATAGTAATATAGAGTTATTTAGTCCCAATCTAGTTAGGGATTTAACAGCTATCTGTATAAGACCTATATGTAGGTATTTATATTCCTTATTTTTATGAATTTGAATCATTTTATTTGATAACAGCTGAAAGCTTTCCTGTTCACTATTGACTGATATACTTTATTCAACTGTTTTTATCGCATAACTGGTTTTAAATTCAAAAGTACCCTTTTTATAGATATCTGTAATAGGAACTTTCGGAATATTCCAGTTATGAATTTGCTTTTCTATGTTTTCAATTATTATTTCCTCTTTATTTTTTATCCTAAGTGTACTGGATGATGATGATAATGTCCTATTGGATAGCGTCCTGATAAAATTTTCCATATCGGGTAACGGATGAGTACACGGGTCAATAGATTTATGTCACAGTGCCTTCCAACGGCTCTCCTGACCTAATTTGGCGATGGACAACTACGACCTTGGTCTCAACTCTCGGGCTTATCTAGGGTAAACCTTACAACAACTGGCCAACCATAATGAATAGTGTATAAGTGAAATAAGAGCCATCAAATCTTCATCATGCGGTTCAGAATGCACATCACTATTTTAATTTTATTTATTTTTATATAAATCTTATTAATATGAAATTTTGAGTGTATATACCTAACACTATTGCGCACCATATAAAAAAAATTATTTTCAATAATTTAAAATGACCAAACAACCCCCGTCATTTTTCAGGGGTATTTCAATCGTTTTATATTTTGGGAAATATTTTTTTTATATTTTTTATTTATGCACCCTATTTTAAAATTAAAACAGTGATATGCATTATGAACCGCATGATGAAAATCTAACGGCTCCCATTCCACCTATATTACTATTCATTATAGCTGGTCAGCTATTATTAGCTTTTCCCATATATATATAAAAGATCATTCTGGGATACACCATACTAATGGTGAAATTAGAATCTCTCACTCTAAAATTTACATCAATAATAGTTTGGTTGAAATTTACATCAATAATAGTTTGGTTGAAAATTTCAAGAAGGGCATTGTTGTAACTTTGAAATTGCTTTTAAAAGTTCATTCATTATTCAAAAATTCCAAGGAAACTTTTTATGGTCAAAAATCATTTTTGAACATATAAGGCATTTTTTGGTCAAATGTTTTGAAAAAGTAAATTCTAAGTTCACAATTAGTGTGGTGTATTCTAGAATAATCTACACACACATATAGGAAAAAGTTCATATGCAGGCATGCTCGCATATAAACTTGAGCAACGGTGGTGATTGAAAGACTATCTTTAAATCTTGCGGGCATGTAGGCATGCGTGCATGGTAACCCTGTCCATATGCAGAGAAGGTTCTAGATATGGCACAAATAATAAATTTACCTTATCTCCTGAACCTGAAGCATTGGTACAATAGGAATGGCTAAATGGTTCACAAATAGCCATATCCACACCACTTTCATAAAAAGCAGCCATGGATGTTTGGTCTTCAACATCACTGAAATTATGATACGGAGCTTGGCCTTCTAACCGCCCAGAATGGAAATCCAAGCATGGAACGACTGGAGTTTGCTGGCACATCCGATGCTTGAGATCAAGTACCATATTTCTTTCAGGGATTTCTGATCCCAGGCTCACACCTGCAGCTGTGTAGGGGAAGAAGTGCAAGATAGGAGGAAAAGAAATGTGGCCCTGAAAGCATAAAATAACCAGCATTATGAATATGAATGGGCCCCAAACTCACTGAGAAATGAGAAAATGGATCAATGAGTTTTGAGGTTTTCTTACCAACAGTTTGACTGAATTGCCATACTCATCCACTGATGCACGTTGCAAATGGATGCACAAAATCTGAAATCAGATCGTTACACTGAAAGATATGTTCAGGGTTTAAACCAACATGACAGTTTGTCAGGTGAATACAGCAGACATCAGCGAAAGAAACTAACATGGTAGAAAGAAATGAGAATAGGATAAGTACGGGAGAAAATAAATTAGACTTTGCAAAAATATAGTCACTGGGTCATCCTTGTCAAATGAAATGATGGATCGTGATGAAGAGAGGAGGGGCCAACAACTCACACATGCGCTTACACACAGAGCTAATCATGTCATTCAGCAATGATGACTTCAAGACTATTGTTTTCCATAGTACATTGTACATTAGATTATAGTATACTTCCCCATGAGAATAAAAAAAACATATTCTTTTTTTTTTTGAAATGTAGAAATAAATAAAATATCCAAGAAAACTCTAATTTTCGAACCTCTGGGCAACGTCCAATGCTCAATTGCTTCATCACACATGAAAAATTGGTAAAACAAGGTACCCCCTTCTGTAGAAGAATATCTTTGCATTTACACTCATCGTAATTAGTGCAACTCCTTAGTTTATGTATCAATGCCTGAAACAAAACAAAACAGCCAAGTTGCCAGGCAAAAACCAATGCTCAACTTCTTGCTTTTCATTTCTCTATACATCTCTGAACAATTTTGGAAGCCCACGCACGAAAAGGCTGGCCAGAGAAAAGACAAGGAAGATGTGTAATATAATCAATGTGGTTATAATAACAATGAACATGTGGTTTATCACCATCCAATCAATGGTTGGAAGATGATGGAGTGTGAGTAGGCATGTTAAACTCATTCAATAACATTTTTGGCAGCCCAATTCCCCACTATTACCATCCAACCAATTCATGGTATGGTGAAAATATCAAGGTCATGGAGTTATTATGGCCATAAAGATCATATTATAAGGGCTCAAAAGAAAATATTGTTTTAATGAAGAAACATTGACAAGTTTAAGTTGACAGAGAAGACCTCGTTCCCATCCATTTTGAGACCAAAATATTTTATAGCAGCCATATGAAAGCAATGGTTGCAATGGTAATTTTCTATCTGTTCTGCAGCAATAAGCTTCCTAAGGCAGTCATCAATGGTACATCCCACCACCTACATGCATTTCATAGGAACAGTAAGAAAACAAAAAACACAAAAAAACAAAAAATATATATTAAAAGGTAATTATGGTTCACATCCTCATGCTTTTACACCCAATCTATTTCTACCAATTGACCAGGATCTTAATAAATCGCTAGGTTATCTGCAATAAAATAATTATCAAAGGCAAAGTATATCATAACCCAAGGAGTCTACAATATGGTTTCCAAAAGGGCACCACCCTCCATTCCTGATTATGGATACATGGACGGTGGAGAGGCTCAACAGTAAATTCACGTTCAGTTAATATCAACTATCCTTGGAGTACCACAAACTATACTACATTGGATTATGGTATGCTTTGTTTGTTTCCTATTTCATGCTTTAGATACTCTGTACATAGTAGTGGTAGATACAATCTCCTAATAAATGAGTAGATGCAAACAAAAAAGGGTAAGTCAGTGGGGATTTGGGCCCCTACGCTTTGGTGAGAATGGAGTCAAAGACTTCATCATAGGGCTCGTTGGTACTACCGCCAAGGCCCCAGCCCATTCTCGCTAGAAAGGTAAGTCAGTGGAGACTTGGGCCCCTACCCATTAGCGAGAATGGAGTCAGAGACTTCATCATAGGGCTTGTTGGTACTACCGCCAAGGCCCTAGCCCATTCTCAAAATGAGTAGATACAATCAACTAATAAATGACATTAATCAAAACATACAATTTCCCCATCCATATCCAGCACAGGTGAGAGCGGCAAGCAGTGGAAAAACTCGAAATCAATAGAAAGCTGCAAATGTACAAACACAAGAGACATGATTCAGCAGCTATTGTTAAAGGGATAAATGTTTGACTTCAATAAAATAATTGCATTACGCCTAACTTCATTCAGGAATGCCACTTCTATCCACCCACATTAATAGCAATTATTAACAATAAGTTATTTGTCTCGATATCCAGCAGAAATAAGTGTATTGCATGCATGAAGTACTTGAGGCATCAAAGTTGTGAAGTTCATTGTTGTTTTCTATGAGCAACATTTTTATTCATTAGGCTATGCTAGAAAATTTCAATATCCACAAAACACCCCCAAAACCAAAATCAAAATTATAAAAATAAGCAGGGAGTGCTAGAGATCTGCCTATTTCTGAGCTTTTTTTTTTTCTCTTGTTTTATATGTGATCGGTAATTACATCTCTGAACTACCAAAAAGAGAGAAAGATGATGGACCTTCCCAATTCCAACATATTACCAACACTTAGATAAGAAGGAAAAGAAATAAAAGAACAAAAATGGAACACCTTTCCAACCAATAAATTTAGCAACATTTAAAAGAGAAGCAGTCTATTCTTAGCACTTTTGACCTGAAATGAACATCTTTTACAACCCAAAAAACTGCCAAGGGTTCCATCAAAGGGACCACGGAAATTTTCCTGCCACCTTTGCCGATCATGGTGGCTCTCCCTCTCTTTTGAGCTCAAATGTAAACGATGAGAAAAAGAACATATATCTGCCAGGGAACCACCGTCTGGTTCGCAACTTTCGATATATTCCTCTTTCAAAGCAGATAATAGATACAGGAGAGCTTCTGCAGCATCCTGCATGTGAGATGATATGAACTGTTTAGCCATATTGTATATAGATGCACAAGAAGAAACCAAGCGTACTGGGTAAAGTTAAAGCTCTGCCAGTTCTGACCTGCTGTCTTGTTAAGTCAAAACTTGAAACATAAAGGCTCATGGCGTGCATCACCTTTAGTGGACTAGAAATCGTTCTTTCTGCTCGAAGGGCAGATAGCTCTATAACAAAGAAAAATAGTATTAGAAATGTAGGAAATCACAAAACAACAGTTTCGAGGTACCTTGGATAAGGTTTGTTCATACCAAGGAGCACAAAAACAAAGAAAATTCAGCCTAATGTAGAAAATTATTATATCAGCCAATAGAATCATGTAAAAGTGCACAAAAAGCACCATAAAAAAGTAAGCAAGACATTGGTGCAGAGTTCATTGTCTTTCCTAACAGATGCAAATATGGGACTGTCAAAACTCAGATGGGTGATTATATGGTACAAACCAAGCTTTATGGAAAACATTTTAGAATGATGATGTTACATGTGTGCAATGGCAGAGCATATCAAACAAAGAAAGGGAGTATCAGCTTGGCCCGTTTCAAAGACAAACACCAAGGGTTTGGACCCTGACCTTCGTCATACAAACCGGGTGCCTTAACATTACAACAAAAACCACTAGACAAAAGTGAGAATGCTATAAATTGAAAAAATGAAATAGGTTGAATCGTTACAACAGAAAATACCTTCCAACAATGTGAATAATGATGCAGTTAGAGGCATGTCTTCTAGTCTTTTCTCCAGTATTGAATCATCCGCATGTATCAGATTTTGTAGGAAAGCATGGAAGCGACAGCAACTAGCCAAGGCCTGTTTAGAATTATCAGTTTCAAGTAAATAAAGATTCTAAATTGAAGATTAGAAATAAAGCTCAAAAACTTTTTAGTAAAGATTGAATTTCTTCTAACTGAATATCAATAGGACTCATATTAGGAACATCATCAGTGTCTCTGTAGAGGTGGCGCAGACATGAAAATGCTTGGTGCGATGCCAATCGGAGCCAGTTCACAACAGGTAAGCAGTCTTTCGCAACCACTCATAAAACCAGAAAATCTGAAAAGAGTAACCTGATTCTGAAACAACCAAGACAAAAGATCCCAGACCAGTTCTCATATGCTCTACTATCCTAATGGTCTATTAAAAAATATGCTTCAAGATCTAAAGATTACAAAATCTCAAAAAAGGTGATCAAGTTCAGCAATTTTTTCGTAGTTAGATGACTTCATTGCAGAATTCCATGAAAATCAAATTTGTGATTCTTTGTTTACTTTTTCTCTTTGTTTACTTTTTCTTTATGGCCGACTCAACTAGCAGAATATTTTGAGTTTTATTCTAAAACTTGGTTTTGATAGAGTTTTTTAGTTGATAAATTAAATGTAGCAGAAATAATACCAAAGAAAATTGTCGGTTAGTATGTAAGCACTACAAAAATAGTGGTAACTTTGGTATACATTCCTCTTTAGATTTGATCTCAAGCTCGAAACCTGTTGTTCACATAACTTATTTTCTCCAAAACTGGAAAACATGTCAAATTTTTTTCTGAGATTGACTAGGTCTAGCTGTGACCAAGTCAGGGACCAAGTTCAAGTTTTTAAAATACTGCTTTATAAATGGGGGCATTAGAATTCAAATTCAAGGGATTGAGATTAACAGCTCCAAAGAAGATGAAGAGGAATGAATTTCTTTGTGAAATAGGCCTGTGCCCATAGCATGTACAATGGCAAAAGTTGCAAGTCATAAGTATCCCTCGTGTATATGTAAAAAGTGTGCATACCTTTCCCTTAACAAAGCTAAAGTCATTCAGAAGTATGTGATATTATCTCCTCATCCAAAGATGCTTTCACGAATCCAAATATGAGGACATCAGCAAGATTGTTAGAGTGCTTTAAAACCCAGCTGTGTGGATTGGGAATTGCCGATCCAAACTGGGAATTGCTTCGGATTGGACTGGTTCCCAGAAAGTATCCAAACCAGCCCAATCCACGGCTAAAACCTTATTTTTCTATTTTTTATTTATTTTTCTTCTTCTTTAATGCTATTCAACAACATTTCTTCAATCTAAGAAACCTAAATGAGTTTCTTCCATTTTCTTTTTTTGTTTTTAATTTGATCTGGCAGATCCAAATCAGGATTAGTGGGTGGATGATCCGCTCCACTGATTCGTGTTTACAACTCTAGTAAAAAAGAAGCAACAAATAAGGAGAATGTCTTCAGCCAGCAGCTTTCCAGTACAACCTGAGAGACAAACTTCATGAAATTGCTTCTTATGAAAGAACAAATTAGAGCTCATCTTCAGTGCACTCTAGATGTAAGAGAGTCGCTGCGACAGAGATACAATGTATGCCCAGATCATGTGATGGGAATTCTACTCATGCAATTTCCGTGAGGCTGTTGGCCATACGACAGTATGCTACTTAAGCAGGAGACATTTTGTTGCATGTAAATACACCAAGATATGAGATAGAGAAAAGGAAGAAGGTAGCCAGATGCAAAATGTATGTCAATGGGAAACCCAGCACAATTGACACCCTAGTAGCCGCAACATGAAGTGATTAAAGACCATAATAAGAGTGTAGCACTCAAGTGATGAAGGACACACTACATTTCCTTCTAAGGCAACATGTAGAAATTATGCTTGTATTAGAAAGTCCTCAATTCAAATGGTCACATATTCTTGCACTGGAAAGTCCTCAATTCAAGTGGGAATCACATAACCCCACACAAATCACTTTGGGAAATCAAAAACCATTCAAGACAAACCAAAAGAAGATAAAGGAATTCTGGATATCACGATGAACAACAAAGAGCCATTCGAGGCAATCAAAATCTGCTTAAGACAACTGCTCTAAGGCTATGAAAAGCTACTTACTGTAATTGCAATATAATTTACGACACTAAAGAGCCATAATATTCTCATAATCCAATGAACTTGCATGCATACACTGGAAAGATAACTGATCAAACTCTAACCAACTTAATTTGGCACCAATGAACTGCTTTGGTTTGCTTGTTGTGAATACAGAAACTTGTCCTTTAGTAAGAAATCACCTTTTAAACTTAATTGACACTGAAAGTCTCTAAGCCAAGAATGTACCAACCGACTCTGAATCTAAGAGAGGCAAAAGGCAACTCAACCATGGAAATCATTCCAAAGGAGTGTATACTGCTCCTATGTTAAATCTAATAAACATAGCATATAACTTGAAGATAACAAGGGTCTAGACTGCTTCCAGATACCAATGGCAAGAGTTGTTGTCATCATCTCCCATGGACAAACACAGCCAGTTTTCCAACTGGTACATGAGTTCTCCAAGGACATACCAAAGCATAAACTAAGGTTGTCAATGAAATAGTTCCACAAAAGTTGCTGAAGCTACATGAGGAACTCACCTATAAAAAGATGTATTCATATCCAACAAAAAACACCTACTTATCATGCTGCAACACTTTGCATGGAACTACTGGCATCTCTTTGAGCCACAAACAAAATTGAAAAGACATTAACACAATCTTCCCCTAACTCGTCATTAAATATGCTCATTATCCTTCAATTTTAATAGAATATTCTTACTTTTTATTTTCCAATAAGCACTGATGTTGCTGGTCCTCTTCTAGAGTTCCGTTAAATGTGATATGGTGTTCATGACATCAAATGACCATGGATCTAACAAACTGATATACCGATTTCACGGAAACAAGAACTACCAAATCACTCGAACGTTGCCAGTGAAGTGTAGTAGTCAAGGAAGACATATTCATTATAAAAGAGCCAATGACATGTTGGATTTTATTCCATTAAGCTATGCAACAAGGAAATAACAAGCTGCAACTGGTGTAGGGTGGATTGTAGAACAGATAGTTCTCCCACTTACTAAAGTTTCTTGCTCCCTAAACTGCCAAAATCAGGTATAGCTAGTTCATATTTGATTCGTTTAATGATAAAGAGCTTATTCGGTGATACAATCAAGATAAAAGAGAACCTATCCGCTGGATTATAATACAGGTTCAAATGGATGAAAGTTCATCATCATCATCATCATCAGAATCTTTTCCTAGCTAATTGGGGTTGGATATACGAATCCTAATCAGCCATTCTACTATGTTAAGGGTCATACCCCAATAAGGTCACAAGTCTCCATATCTTTTCTCGCTACTTCCAACCATATCCTTGTGGGCCTAACCCTTGCCCTTTTTTTTGAGCCTTCTACTTGACTAAACTCGCAGCTCCTAACAAGTGTTGTACTGGGTCTGCGTTGCACATGGACAGCCCACCTAAGTCTATTATCTCTCATTTTATCGTTTATTGGTACCACACCTAAATTCTCTCGATTATATTCATTTCGAATTTTATGCCATCTCGTCTTGCCACTCATCCATCTCAACATCCTCATCTCAGCTAGTCTCACAGTTGTCGTATAGAACTTGTCCTTTAACTTCATTGGTATGCGGCAATCATATAAAACTCTAATTGCATATCTCCACTTCGGCTACCCAGCTCTAATTCTATGTGCAGCATCTTACTCAATCTCTCTGTTTTCTTAGATTATCGACCCAAGATGTCGGAAGTGCGATTTTTTTAGTATTTCTTGCCAGTCAATCTTAACTACTTCCTCGTCTCTAATCCTATTATTATTAAACTTGCATTCCATATACTTTGTCTTAGTCCAATTAATTTTAAAACCTTTAGATTCTAGAGCATCCCTCCAAAGTTCCAACTTTATGTTGACGACGTTTCGAGTCTCATCGATAAAAACTATGCCGTCCGCGAACAACATATACCATGATATCTCATCTTGTAGGTACCTAGTTAAGTTGTCCATACTAAGACAAAGAGGTATGAGCTCAATGCTAACCCCTGATGCAGACAGTAGACATATTGTCACTGGAAACTCACTCATCTCTATTAGTTGTTCGCAAACTGATTAGTGCTCCCTCATACATATTTTTCACCATGTTGATGTAGTGTCTAGAGACTCTTTTATTATCCAACACCCACCTAATCAAATCCCGATATACTCTATCATAAGCTTTCTTTAAATCAATAAAGACCATGTGGAGGAGGTCTTTTTACTTTGTCCTGAACTTCTCAATCAATTGCCTAAGTAGGAAAGAACCTCAGTTGTTGACCTCTCTGGCATAAAACCAAATTGATTTTTTGATACACTCGTTTCATGCCTTAGTCATTGCTCAATCACTCTCTCCCACAACTTCATAGTATGGCTCATAAGTTTGATCTCACAGTAGTTCGCATAATTTTGTATGTCTCATTTGTTCTTATAAATAGGTACCACAATATTTTTCCTCCATTCATCTGGCATTTTTTTTGTTCTCAACACCTTGTTGAACAGCTTGGCAACCAATCAATGCCAATCTCCCCCATACACCTCAAACCTCTATCAGAATACCATCTAATTCTAAAGCCTTTCCTATCTTCAAGTTCTTCAAAGCTTCGTTTACTTCTGATATCCCAATCCCACCAATGCATCTATGACGTCCGCCCTCATTTATGCAACAGTTCCTTCCACTGCCATGTTCCCATTGTGTTCATCAATTAAAAATTTTTTAAGATAAACTCTTCACCTTCCATTGACCTCTTCATCCTTCACCAAGACCCTTTAATCCTCACTCTTAATGCATTCAATATGGTCTAGATCCCTATATTTTTTTTCTCTCATTTTTGCTAAATTGAAGACATTTTTCACCTTTTCTTATTCCATGTTTATTGTATAGATTATTATATATGTTAAGTTTAGTTTTCCTTACTATTTATTTAGTGTTTTTTTAATATTTTTATATTATTCTAAGTTTTGATCATTTCTATTACATTACCGAGTTTTATAATATGATCGATTTTCGGTAATAGCCTTATGAACCTCATCACTCCACCAACAAGGTTCCTTAATGGAATTTCTTTTCCCTCTAGTTTCTCCTAAAACTTTTTTTGCCACTTTCTTAATACAGTTAGTCATCTCATTCCACATAACATTGACTTGATGTTTAGAGTAATAGAGTTTTATTTTCCATATTTAACTAATTTATCCCTAAATAAGTCGATTTTCTCATTTTTTAATTTCCACCACCTAGTTCTTGTACACCTATTAATTTCACCCCTTCTCTTCCATATCTTTATGCAGACGTCTATAACCACGAGCCTATGTCAGATAGTCAAACTCTCCCTTGAGATAACCTTATTGTCTTTACATGATGGTCGATCTATCTTCTTAACTAGGAAGAAGTCTATCTAGCTTTTATCTTATCCAGTTTTATAGGTTCTAAAATGTTCATCTCACTTTTTAAAGTAAGTGTTTGCTAATGCTAAGTCGTAGGCCATAGAAAAACCTCACCCATCTCTTTCTTTCACCAAAACCATATCCCCCATATACTCCTTCATATCCTCTATTATCCTTCTCTACATGTCCATTTAAGTCCTCTCCTAAAAGGGTCCTCTGTCCATTTGGTACGTCTTGGACTAGTTCATCCATGTCCTTTCAAAATTTTCTTAATTCTATCATTTAGTCCTACTTGCAGTACATATGCACTAATTACGTTAATTATCTCTTCTCCTAATACAAATTTAATTAATAAGAGCCTATCACCTAGTCACTGGACATTAACTACTTTATCTTTTAAATCTTTGTCTACTATTATGCCTATGTCATTTCTATATTATCCTTTCATGTATGCTAAAGTTTATACCCATTTATTTCCTTAGCTTTTCCGCGTCTTACTTTGTTTTCTGTAGACAAACTATGTTTACTCTCATTCTTCTTGTTGTATGCACTAACTTCATACTCTTACCTGTAAGTGTTCCTACATTCCATGAGCTTGGGCAAATCTTAATCTCTTGGAGCAGCTTCTTTACCCGCGCTCGTTCAGAATATCGCTATAACCCTTGCTTATTTTTCATCGAAACCAGGAGGCATTGTGGCACGTCACTTTTGAGGAATGCCGCATTTCTCACTGTAACCAAGTTCTGGTACAACGTGTCGCTTATCGGGAAAGCCCAAGCATAAGCAAATAACATAGATTCAGGATTCATGGAAAAGTTTTGGCGAAGTTTTACATTGGCAACCTTCCTAACACAACCCACCTCCTCTACCTGGGCTTGGGACAGAATAAGAGAAAGTTTAAGGTCCTCATCTTTCTTAGACCAAAATGGATAAAAGTTCCATATGCTAAATAAGTAAGTAACAACACTTATAGCTCAAGTGGATATTGGAAATAAAAAGAGACCAAGAGTTACCTGTAAAATTACATTTAAGAAGCAATTGTTGCCCATATTTTGCAGCCCTGGTACAAAGCATAACTTATCCAAAGAATGTTTCCTCCCAGGCATAAATCTGCCCAACATATTCATCCATGGAAAATTTCCATCTTTCAGAGACAAAAACCACCCAACTAAACCAGCACCAAAAATTCCAGCAGTAAACACGAAAACTTGACCAAGCAATACTCCCTTGAAAGGAAATGATATTCGATCACCATGTTTACGCATGTCAAAGAGTCGATGTATATTGAATTTCTCTGCATTTCTCCACTTCACTTCTTTAATTGTCTTCATTTTGTAGACATTTGGGGTTGTCCAATAATCAGCCTTGAATCATATGCGTGAACCTTGAAAGGCAAGCTTCATAATTGAATGTGTAGAATTCAATCAAATAAGAAACAAGACGTTAGAAAAAACACGTAGTTTACATGCTCATGGTATTGAAATAATCAGAGAACTCCATAATCGACAACATGGAGTCCTTACTATACAAGCAAAAATGAAAGCGACCAAACTCCAAGAAGAACAATTAGAGCACCAAAACAACAGCAGATGATTGTATTTTCTCAAAAAGTCTATGATCTGTAGGTCAGCGATATCCTTAGATTTCATGAAATGTAATCATGATATCAAAAATGTGCATGTACCAGTTATTGTCGACTAATTTTAAATACAAAGAAAATGAAAAGTCTTAAAAACGCCTATAGGCGAAGTGCTACAGTGTTTCGTCAGCATGTCCGTAACGGTTTTGCCTAAAAACCGCCACAGACATATGGGAACCATGAGGGTCCCCCCATATTTCTTGCTTCAAATTTGCATAAAAAAATCCCTTCATGGACTTGCTATGTCCATGACGGACCGCCACGGACATGCTAAGTCCGTGACAGTCTTTAATCCATGCCGTCGAAAAAAATCGGACGGCGCTGAACCTATGGGCGAAATACTGTTCATTTTCGCCCATAGGTGTTTTGTAGTCTCATCCCAAAGAAAAAATAACAAAACTTTTTGCCAATTGATCATTAAAGAAAACCGTCAACGATTCAGTTTTTGTGGTAGAGGAAATCAGGGATTCCTTTTAATATGAAAAAATGCCTGAAAAATCCTTTCGCTTCTAAAATAATGAATGATAAACTACCAAAAATTAGCAAAATGGAACTAAGGGAAAGTGATACACCAAACACGAAACTACCAACCCTAAATCAAATTTAGCAGTTTCATTCATGTTTAATCATCAGCTAAAAGAGAATCATTCACATATTCAATTTATTTCTTCACTCGAATCAGGTTAACAAGTACCAGCACAAAAAGCACAATATACTTGCAAAAAGAAGTAATAAGGCAATATGATGGATGATCCACACAAAAACAAAAGAAATAGAGAAATAGACAGAGAAAAAAGAAATCTATCAGAGAATGTTTCCTTAAACTCATTCCTTTTAATATAAAAAAACAAGACATCAATCAATAAATAAATATTCTCCATAGCCACAACTTCTGCACCTGACCAAAGAATTAGGGTTTCTATTTTATCTAGATCAAAGTAGTAGTGGTGGCCAGTGATTACTTTTTAAACTTGTTCTCCAAATAATTCATTTTCCTTTAAAAACCACAATTTTATAAGACAAATACATAGTAGTAATTCACCAAGAACAATTAAAGATGATTATAAACGAAGGATAATAGCAGTGATATTTGGGAAAGCCCCTAAATGGCTACTCAAAAAACAGAACCATTAACAAAGACTTACTACTTAAAATGAGAGAGCTGAAACTATATTGCAGAACCTTTCACATTTTTTTTAAAACCTAACGCGTGCCCGCCAAAAGTAAGCATTCATAAAAGGAGCCGGTTTACCAATCACCTTTATGCCAGGGCATCACTTTTTCCATGTTATGTGAAGTCATGAGTTATGAAATGTTCGGTGAAGTCATGAGTTATGAAATCGAGTGAGACTACGAAGCATGGTAAACCCATGGTTTAAAAAGCTGATCGGTGATCCGGATAGGGCATCTCAAAAACCTATTTGGATCGGCGAATCGGCTATCCGGATCGAAAATCGGGTGAATCGATCAGATTAAAGCTTCAAACAAATTTCAAAAAATTATTAAAATTCATTATAAATATTTTTTTTTTAAGAATTCAATAAAAAATGAGGGTAATCCATTAAAAATTTTAATTTCTTTGCATGAATATGCAAATATTGATATGTTATATCCCTGCATGAACTATTATTTACCATTTAATTTACGTCACACAAAAGGATAATATAGAATTATCATGGAATAAGTATATCAACATACATGGACTACAATAAAGCATACAATTAGTAACATATGATCTAAAAATAAAATGACAGACGACGTCCTTTTTCTTCTTAGTCACGCCGGTGCCATTGATTGAATCCGTTTGATAATTCATTGATTCGATCTAAAAACGAATCATCGATATTAGCAGGCGTCTGACTATATCTAAATCCTTGAGTATTAGTGTTCTGTTGTGTTCTCAATCCAAAATCCCCAAAGCTTGTCCATCATTCATACTCACCTACACTATCGTGCTCATCCCTACCCTATTGCTATTGGGACTCGATATGTGAATAATGTGGCTGGGATAAGGTGGCTTCGGAATCATCATCTCTCTCATTTTCCCTTAGACCCCCTTCTCACTCTCCCTCATTAGGTGCAATATCACTGATATCTCCGACGAATTGTGAATACGTTGGCTAACTGCTTCCTTTTTCATGCTGCTCATCACCTTCTTCAAGATCTTCCTCATCGATAGCCTCAAGGAACGCTCTCTTGTGCAACACTGGCTCCTCCTCTTCTACTACCCATTGGTCTACTATGTTTGCGACAAATATTGTGTCTAACTCTATCGGCCCATAATCTTCAAGCTTCTTTCTTATTTGTCGCTCTTGGAGGTTTAAGTTGTAATGAACGTATACTAGTTTATGAAGCTTTTCCGAAGCGAGTTGATTTCTCGTAGTAGTGTGCAACCATTGGAACGTACTCCAGTTGCGCACACAGCCAGTAGTAGAACATGTCTGGAAGAGCACCTTGATTGCTATATTCTTTCGGTGAGGTCCATCAATACCATATATCTCCCACCATTCAGCTATATTAAAATACAAAAAGCATTGTAAGGGCAAGAACAATTCATAAGATTAAATATATGAATGAACAAAATATTAGCTAGGGGATAACCGGGATCCATCTTAGTTCAAGAATTCTTGGCAAGTCTAGTTCCGAAGGATTCTACAGCATCCATATACATAGCAAGCTAAAACAAATATATTTCGTTTTAGTGCATTATTCCTCACAAATATAACAACTCAATAAAGTTCTTACCCAAACATTAAATAATACCTCATGATAATCAAAACCTGGTCACTATTTTCACATCTTTTTGAAAAATCACGATTTTTTTTTAAAAATCGATCATGTAATAAAAAAAATAAAAAATAAAACAATTCTTCACAGAGCCACTTAACATCAGTCATTCCAACTCAAAAATGCATTAACAACAAATTAAAAAAATACAGTTTTGCATTAAAAATATGATAACATGCATTTTTTTGCATAGATAATCTATCGACATAAAATTTTTTCAACAAAAACTTGAACAATAAAAATTTAAAATATGGTTTAATACCTCATGATAATCAAAACCTGGTCACGATTTTCACATCTTTTAGTAAAATCATCATTTTTCAAAAAATTCGATCATGGATAAATAAAAAAATAAAAAAAAAAGTACAGCAAACTCAAACAATAAAAATTAAAAATATGGTTTAATACCGCATGATAATAAAAACCTTGTCACGATTTTCACATCTTTTGGGAAAATCATCATTTTTCAAAAAATTCAGTCATAGATAAAAATAAAAAAATAAAAAAAAAAGTACAGCAAATTTTCAAAAAATTCGATCATGGATTACAAAACAAAAATCCCAAATTTTCAAAAAATTCGTTCATGGATTACAAAAAAAAAAATCACAAATTTTCAAAAAATTCGATCATGGATTACAAAAAAAAAATCACAAATTTTAAAAAAATTCGATCATGGATTACAAAAAATTCAATCATGGATTATGGATTACAAAAAATTCGATTATGGATTACAAAAAATTCGATCATGGATTACAAAAAATTTGATCATGGATTACAAATAATTCGATCATGGATTATAAAAAAAAAACAAATTTTCAAAAAATTGGATCATGGATTAAAAAAATAAAAAAGCAAAAAATTCAATCATGGATTACAAAAAAAAATAAATAAATAAATTTCAAAAAATTCAATCATGGTTTACAAAAAAAAAAAATTCAATCATGTATTACAAAAAAAAAAGAAAAAAACAATTCGATCATGGATTACAAAAAATTCGATCATGGATTACAAAAAAAATTCGATCATGGATTACAAAAAAAATTCGATCATGTATTACAAAAAAAAAATTCGATCATGGATTACAAAAAAAAAAAAAAATCTATGTTCTTCATAGAGGCACCTTACATCAGCCATTTTAACTCAAAAATCCACCTCCAAGTGAATAAATTACATCTAATTGAGTATATTTTTTGATAAACAACAATATAAATAATCAAAACCCTAAATTATGAACACATTATCATCAATAAATCAAATCAAATCTATTAAATTGAGCAAAAAAAAAAAAACGCAGTTCTTCCCAGACAACAATCATTGAATCTAAAAATGAAGCTCAAATTGAATACATCTGATTATAAACAAGACTATAACGATTAAAAACCTAGGAAATCTAACACATTATTTGTAATATATAGTGAACAAAAATCGAAAGGTAGAAAACAAAAAAAAACAGTAGAAATTTTTTTTCACAAACATCACTGTGTTCATCTAAAAAATCAGGCTGTAATTGAGTAAATTAAATAAAAAAGAATATGGTAAATTATAAAAGACACGATAAAGATTTAAAACCGTACAAATGTAACTCATTATTTTCAAAATATGAACTGAAATTGATCAAATGGCGAAAAAAAAAAAAAACCAGAGTTCTTACCTGGTTTCGTGAACCATGGCTTCAATCTCCAAATTACTCTGTTTTTTCAAAGATTATCACAAATTCGTAACAAAATTTTTTGATGAACACATTTATGATCAAAATGCCTAAAAATTTTCACAGATTCATGCCCTATTTGGCATGAAACAAAAGGAAAGGCGGAAACCCTAAAACCGCAACTTTCATGATCCAAAAACACGAAAAATCTCCACTATTTAATCCATGAAAAGGCTGAAAAAAGCTGCATAAAGCCTGAATTTTTTATCACATGACAAAAAAAACAAGAAAAATGATAAAAAAATGACAAATTTTGAAGAATCTCGTGAAGAACACTGTGCAGCCCGTGTTCTTCAAGGGACTCGCCGATTCCGTACAGTGAATCGGCGAGTCACTGTACAGAATCACCCAATTCTCTCTAGAACCGGGCGATTCCGTGTAATTTGCCTGAACCGGCACGTCCGGTTCGACTACGCGTTTTTTTTAAACACTGGTGCAAACCATAAGGCACCGTTTCGGTACCCGAAAATCTATATAGGTAAACATATTACAAGTTACTTAGGTACACATGAAAAAATGGAAATAAAATAATATAGGCAAACATATTACAAAATGGAAATAAAATACGTGAAATCTATTATCGGCACAATGGCTGTGAAATCCATTTACGTGCATTTTTTAGTTACAAGTCAGAAAATTAAAATAAAATAGGCTAAATCTATTACATGCATAATCGCTGTGAAATCCATTTCCATTAAGTACCAAAAAAAAAAAATCATCTATCCTACCATTCTCCTTCTATGCGCATTCATTTTTCCCACCTTTCTACATCTATTTTTATTTTCTCTCTCTAAACTCCATTTATAAGTGTTTTTACTTTCTCTCTAAACTCCATTTATAACCGTTTCTACTTTCTCTCTCTAAACTCCACTTATAAGAGTTTTACTTTCTCTCTAAACTCCATTTATAACCGTTTCTACTTTCTCTCTAAACTCCACCTATAAGAGTTTAAACGCGTATAGCCATTTGTACATTATCCATTGCAACCCCATTTTTAGATCCCTCTATCCCTAAATTGTAACCCCATATCTATTTCTACAATCTCCTCTGTAACTGCATTTTTATATTCCTCTATCCAAATTGTAACCATCATCTGAAGTCATCAGCTCTCATATACAAACAAAAATAATAAAAATAATTGACAATCAATGAGAAATTATACAATCAGCTCTTATATAAAAACAAAAATAATAATTGATAATCAATGAGAAATTACACTACACAAGTAAAAATTACACGATACAAGTAAAAACTCAATTGAAATAAGATACTTCTTTAGTCTCCTCCAATGCCTTAAAATTTTCAAGTACAATTACCAAAACTTCTAGTTTACTAATCAAACTTCTTCCCATTTTTTAACTTGTAGCATAAAGATTTTGAATTTGGTATCATAAATTTATTGTTTATTTGAAATTATTTTTAAACTTGTAGCATAAAGGTTTTGAATTTAGTATCATAAATTTATTGTTTATTTGAAATTATATAGAGAGAAATTTGAAAGTCTTGCATAAATAAATAAATAAAAATAAGGCTTATCACAATAAAATCATATTATTCCTATCATATTATTCCAAAGACTTATCATGTTGAAATCAAAATCTAACATGTTAAAAGACATGGGATTCTATGTAAGTGCCAAAGGCATGCAAAATAAGTAGGAAATGGTATCATCATGACTTTAGAATGGTACAAGTTATTATTATAAAATCTTTTTGGAATGGTGATAATGTTATTATTAGAAAATCTTTTTGAAATGGT